ATATTTTATTATATTTGCGATAAAGTTTAAAGAACGCCGAATACATTGATTTTAGGCTAGAGGTATTACGAAACAGCAGGAAAATACTGTTGCCAATCTGTCTCAGGCAGAGGGGAACATTTAGTAGAGGCGCATGCGCGTTAATTGTAAGCGGTGCTAAATCGTCTGTGAAAAAAAAAAATTTTTTTATTTGTTTAATTTCTGTCATAGTTTTATTATAGTATTTGTATCGAATATGTGTCAGCTATATAATAATTCATCATATGATATAATTCTATGCATTATTTTTATGTAGTTTGAGATATAACGTATTTAGGCTAGCGCCAGAGTGTCGCTTATTTATACATATAAAGAAAAATGTATGTGTGTTTGTTCGCAATTAACTCAGTCACTACTATAGCTATCGTCACCAAACTTTCTGCAATGCATTTCTGGGTCCAGGAAAAGGTCGACGACCTCTTTTTGTCCCCAAAATTTGCTAAAGTCAAAGATATTAATTAAAAATTCTGAAAACGCAAATTTTGGCCCTTATTTTTCCGAGTGGTAAGTCTCGCACGCTGGAGATAAAAGTCTACTTTATTTCGAGAAGTGTTGCCGCTTCTCGCTTTCAAATCGTAGAATTCGTAAATAAAACATTTCTAATGAAATAAAAATAACATTTCTAATGAAATAAAAATAACATTTCTAAACACTAAATACATTATTCCCGACTCCAAAATTTCGTGGGAAGCCATTTCGACTGTTCCCATCTGTACGGCTTTAATCAGCCGAGATATTAATTAAAAACTCTGAAAACACTAATTTTCGCACTCATTTATCAGAGTGGCGCAGTCTCGCGCATTGGAAATAAAATACTTTATTTCAAAAAGTGAAAAGTGTTTGATACTGCTCGCTTTCAAATCGTAGAGTTTGATTTAATCAAATATTTGTAAGTTTTACAAAATCTCTCCATATAAAGAAGAATGTTTGTTTGTGCGTTTTGCTTGTTTGTTCGCGTTATTAATCTCTGATCAATTATGATAAATTTTTTCCACACTTAATAGATTAAAATATTGGATTGAACTTGAGCTTTTACGACCATTTGATTAGAAAGACTAAAAATCATTAAAAACTGCGTGCCATTTTCGCTGATATAATAAGAGAGAATGAGTTTATTTGTCTATTGAAATTTCTTATGTGGGTTCCATATCTCATCAGACTGAAAAATGTATGAATATGAATCGTAATTTTTTGCATCGTTATTAGAGAAGGATTACAGCGGTATCGTTTTCTCTGTTGTTCGGTGCATTACTCTCAATCTAACTTAACTGGTATCGGATACTTCCACTAGTAGTAAATAATTATATTGAATTGCAAAAAGGGGATTACATTATTTCTATAATGCGCTTATGTGTATATAGATCGACTGAATGAATTTAGTTTGATCCAAGAGGTAAATTTAATAAACTAACTTACATCCTCACATCCTGTGACATCCATCACATTCTGTTTTGATTACTTACATCCATCACATCCTGTTTTGATTAAATTTGTGTGTACACACTACACCAAATCGTTAATTTAACGAGAAATAAAATTTCGTATTTAAAACTAATTCTGAATCGTTCAGAAATACTTAATTGCAAAACCTTGAAACCCATTGCCCTGTTGAATGGAAACCATAATACTAACCGTTCTCCATTCGTAAAATTCATATTTAAATGAAATCAGACAGCAAAACGAGATTTAAGGTGCCCTTTTTTTTTATTGGTACGAAACGCTTAAAAATAAATAAGCCAAAGGAAATAATATATATTTTAACTAATTAATATAAGCTTGTGTAAATAATATATATAGTATTGCTAAAATAAAAATAGATTTTCTTCGTTTGAATAGTTTTTGAAACTCGAAATACAAAACTTCTTACATTTCGGTTGTATTTCTTCTCTTTGCGTCGTTTTAAAGCTCGTTTATGTTTAAATCAGTGTTCCTGGTTTTTTAGTGCGTATTTTAAAATGTAATCATATGAATAAAATGAGAGGTTTTCTTTTTAGCACCAGAAATATTATTAATCTCAAAGCTCACATTCTGTCCGTATCACTTTAGTGTCCCAAACTATTTCAAATTATTACCCCTAAATATTATCGCGATGTGTTATTTAATTTTTATTTTAAATCTGAAAAGTGTCAGGTTTTATTGTCTCCGCAAAAGGTTTGATAAGTTTTTTTTTTTTTTTTTTTTTTTTTTTTTTTTTTCACTCTCGCTTAGCTCGCAGTCTATCAGTCTGCTGCTGTTGCACTCGCTTCTGCTAACCCATTTATACTTTTGTCTTGTTAGCTTTTAATTAAGAATCGTTTTATTTGCACTTACGCCATACAAAATTCAAAAGCAAAATCACAGAATTTTTAAGAGAAGCTTAACAGCATGTGTCGAATTTCCATTACAGTGTTAAGTGTTTGGCATACATTTTTTTAAAACTTTTTTCAATCTTTTCTCAGTTCCTCATATCAAAATGTTCAGTTTTCTTAGTAAAAAGACTTTCAAAACTTACTTTTGGTTTTTTTATTATTCACTTTTTGCGTGTTAACTTTATGTATTAAATAGCACTTTCGTCGTATTTATGTCACATAAATTTCAATTTAACGGCAAAATTATAAAATACTTAAAAACAGTTACACATTAACACATTCAGAATTTACGATAGACAGAACACTAGGGTTTGAATACTTTTATATTTGCTATATTATTTCTTTAAAAACTAACCGCTTGTGCAACCAGCCGCCTGAAATAGTTATCATGAAAAAGAACAGTACAATAATTTTAATGTGTCGACTTGGCATCATTTTATAAAAATATTGAATATTTCTAATTCGATTCTCATTATTTCAATTCAGGTATACTTAAATATACAATATTAAAAAGTACAAAAACATATTCTTTAGGACAGTGTTTATTGTATTTAAATTGCTTAGTTTATTACTTAATAATATTCCCGGATAAATTTGAAATTAACTTAGGCTTTACTGAGTGGGAGAACTCTGGAGCTTGGAAGATAAAATAATTCTTGCAGCGGCAACACATTGCTTTCATAGAGCCTATTTTGTAAATTAGAAATTAAAGATGACATTTTTCTGAATGGCAACAGTTTCGCGCCCTGGAGACAAAAATGCTTTATTTCGAGCAGAGTTGTCACTGCTCGCTTCAAATCGTTGACCTTGCCAATCAAATATTCATTACCATTTACGAAATCTAAAATAAAACATGATAAAACTAAAATTCAAAGTTCAAAATCCGGCTTTCTGCTCCACATATTCCGATGGAATACTACGTTTTTCAAAATTGCATCTCTCTAGATATCGTCATTTTATCATGGTGCAAGGAATTTACATACACGCATACATGCGGTTTATATATTATTTAATTTTTAATTTAAAAAAGTGAATAAAACATGACGATAATATTTGGTGATAACAATCCGAAAAGTGACTTGCCATGTACAGTGAACCGATGCAAAATTCCTTTTCGAGACTGACAGCCCCTTTTAGGACGATAATGAAGAATTTATTTATATGTATGCATGTTCCTTGCATACTAGAAAAACGACGGCACCTAGAGCCATCGAAATTTTAATATACGTAGTCCTTCACCCGAACACAGGCATTCCGAAGCCCGAATTTCGAATTTGTTTTTGTTTTAATTCATATTTTGAACAAATTTAATGAATTTATGTTTAACAAATTCAGCTATTTGAAAGAAAAAAGTGGCAGTACTGTTTGAAATAAAACATTTCTATCTCTAGCGCACTAAACTGTTGCCTTTCGGCAAAACAGATATTGTCCTTTCAATTTTAATCCAAAGATTCGGATATTTGAAAGCGGTTTTTTTGCCATTGCGTCAACAGGAATACTTATTAGATACACGCGCCAGCGTGTTGCCATTCAGTAAATAGTATGATATTTAAATGTTGTATTTGTTACCAGTATCACTTTTCTGACAATGATCAGCACAAGCCTACGACTTTCATCGTGGTTAAGGAGTCAATTGCGCCTGCAGTTGGCAAGAGCCTTGAGCACCCTGTAGGTAACAGCCCGACTTTAGCTCAGTTCCGCCTCTAATTTTCCTGGAAGGACGGGTCTGAGAGTCTGCCTACCACCAACCTCATACGAGAACTTTCGGTTCACCGCATATTTAGTGTCCTATGCCGCACAGGACACTATACATTTATAAACATCCATGCCTTTTCCGAGATTCGAGCCCGGGGACCTTCGGTACGGCAGTCGGAGTCACTAACTGTTATCCCGGTTGGGCGGCTAAGATATTTAACCATCAGATTTTACATTTCTGTTACTGAATAGCAAGTTACGTGACTAGAAAGTAATAAAGTCAGTTTCAGATTTAAGAGGTACATTTGAATCATGAGATATCTAATTAGAAATATTAAATATTTTTATGAAAAGACACTAGCTGGACTCAGTGAAATCATTATAGACGTGTTTCTTTCGTATGATAACTCTTTCAGGCAGCTGACCGCTCGAGCGATTAGTTTACAAAGAAATAATTTAGTGAATATAAACGTATGTCCGAGTCCCTGGCGAATTAGAGTAGACTGGTATCCTGCGATACTCAGTATCGCAAAAACGTTTGCAAAACTTCTGGTTTAACATTAAAATCTTTTTTTTTTTCCAGATTTCTCTTTCTTTCATTTTTTTATGTTAATAATAAATAAAGTAAAAATTATTAATTTAAACTTCTTTCTTTTGCAGTTAATTATGATATAAATTTTAATTAATTAATATTATTTTATTAAATAATGCGACACCAAATAAATAGTGATATATTTCGCTTTTATGCTCCCGTTGGTACTATATGTATTGATTAATTACTTGTTTTACAGGTTTAATTACTGTGTTAACAAATGTCTGGACCTTTGACAAGAACCCTTCACTTATCATTTCAATCATTTCTCCAACTAATAGCCATTAATATTCCCTTATCTCGCAATCTTATGATTTCTCCTACAGCTCCACTGGCCCCTGACAAGAGACTTCTCCTATCTGTCAATTCCTCGACGGTGACTGTCAATCTGAACAGCTGGCACAACGGTGGCTGCCCAGTCAGGTTCTTCGTCATCCAGTATAAAGTCAGCGGCCATCAGGAATGGACGCTCGTCAGCAATAATGTCATACCCGAGCAGCAGACAGTTACAGTGACAGATCTGGTGCCAGGGACGTGGTATTCGCTTCTGATGACAGCTCGGAATGATGCGGGTTCCACAGATGCTGAATATGTTTTTGCAACTCTCACTCTGGCTGGTGGTAAATATGTTAAACAATATGTGATGATTAATTTTACATCTACACCTAATCATCTATGTAAATGATTTATTTATATTTCTGATAACTGAATACACTTAATTTTAAGCTTTAATTGTATGCATTCAATGTTTAATCACATATAGGTCTATAATAGAAGCTCTCAACCGGGGGGTGATTCCTTCCTGGGGAAAAGGGATTTTATAGTGTGAGAGGAATGTTGTCAGCATTTTATTTTGCCCTTCAGTATTAAGTTTTAGTTTAAGAAGGGGGGGAAAACACTGCTTTTACTCAAGTTTTGGTATTTATCAACAATTTCTATAATTTTTATTAAAAATAAACCATATGTATATTGATTGATAAAACACGTAAAAATAACCGAAATAAATGTATATATACTTTTTAAGTTTTGGGAAGGAGGGGTGAACTTTAGCAGTGGTGAAAGAGGTACATCGAGCAAAATAGGTTGGGAAACACCTGCTCTATACGTTTCGTCTTAAAATCTAGTATTCCCTTCACTCGCCTCAATTATAAATGCCAACAATATTCTGCCTTCCTTTGACAGAATACGATTGCTACGCAAAATGTAACACCTGGCTAATTTACAAACAAAACATGGATTTAAAAGAACGTAATTTTAAAAAAGGAAATGTCATCTGTGTCGGCCATTCAAATATTACTATTTTATTAATATAAATTTAATAGTGAAGAAGAGTACTGCACGTTGCATATAATCACTTTTAAACCAAATCCAAATCATTCATTAGTACCAAGAATGTATGCTACGGCCCATCTCTTGATTTACAAAGGTGTGTTTTATGGAAACGTCTATTGAAAGACAATATTGAATTGTATGTGGCTGCGTCATTTTGTTAGCAAAAACATTTAATAGATTAAGTTATAAAAATCTGATGGAGCCACCACATGACTTCCTTGCACTGCCTGTTAAATTATGCACATTTTTTTGTTGCATTTCACTTAAACTTGACTTTCCCGAATTTCATTAGAGATATATTTCTCATTCAACCAATTCAGTTCATATGCCGCTGCAAGGAAAAAATGCATTAAAACTAAAAACACCTTCATAAAAAATTGTAAAAAACAGAAAAACATAAAACACCAAATAGAGTTAAAACCCGTTAAAAAAACAATTTTTACAATTAAATTTAGAGTTTAAATTAATAAAAATTAGGCAGAAAGACCGAGTTTACGGTGCACAAAACGTTTGGTCCCACTCGGCAAGAGGACACTTAAGTTTGGGCAGAAACTGACTTAATTCACTATGCTTAATTCAAGTGTCCACAAATGGTGACGTTGCAGGCTTAGTGCAACCTTTTGACTAACTCGTACCATCTAAACAAAAACAGAAAACCTTTAGTACCACCAATACAAAGTATGTCTACCACCACCACTCTTGAACAAAGCTCAGATCGCATAAATTTACGAATGTTAGACAATAAACTCAGTCAGAATGTTGAGGTTTTAATTTCAAGTGTCCACAAATGGCCACGTTGCAGGCTTAGTGCTACCTTTTGACTAACTCGTACCATCTAAACAAAAACAGAAAACCTTTAGTACCACCATTACAAAGTATGTCTACCACCACCACTCTTGAACAAAGCTCAGATCGCATAAATTTACGAATGTTAGACAATAAACTCAGTCAGAATGTTGAGGTTTTAATTTTTGAATTTAATATTTAAAAATATCTTCCTTCTTTGGGTATCACCTATTTTTCTTTTGCATGCTACCGATTGAGAACCTCTGGCTTAGTGGAACTTATATATATATATAAAGGAAGAGAGGAGAACAAACTGTCAACGTTCTGAGGCTACTGGTTTTTGAGTTATGCGAGATACATACATACGCACATAGGTGCGTACAGACGTAACGAAAAAAAAAAGAACTGGTTCTCAAGTCACTTTAAATCCATTTCACAATCCGTTTCGGGAAAAAGAGTCCGTACGTGCAAATATAACGCAAAACCACCGTTCAAATGGAATCGAGTGCGTTTAAAATGGACATTTTCGTTGAAATACGATGGGCGAAATATTTGGCAATTACAATACTTCGTACAAGGAAGTAAAAGGACGGTCAACAGTGTACCAATACTGAAGTACATACATCAAAATTCAAACAAAAACAAAGCAGTAAAATAACATAGCAAAAGTAACGTAACAAATTGTTTAAAATTCTTTGATCCTTTTCAAGAAGCAGCCAAAAATGTTTCAACAGAGCTTCCTTTCTTATAATTATCCAGAAGTTTATATGAATAATTATAAGTTCTTGAAATAAATCAAATTAAAAAAATAACAGATAAAAATGTAATTAATTAAAGCAGAAATTCTTTATTAAAGCCAATTACAAAATGCAATGTATGCGAGATATGACAGAAAAATAACGAGACTAAGTGTGTAGCTTAAAAACAGAGTGGAGCTGGCAACAACTGTTTTGGTGACGTCATATCATACACCTCCTCTATCCGTGCGGCCAGTTTCGACTTAACCGACCACGCCAATGGGGTGTACTGTGTCGTTGAGTGAACACGTGCAACTGCTTTTGCCGGAAAAATCTCTAATGCAAAAACCGAACAGCGAATCAACATCAAGCTTCTTGTGAAACTAAAGAAATCAGCCACGAAGTAAACGTTTCATATATTAACCGAGGCTTATGGAGATTGTCTCATGCACGTGTGCTTGAATGGCATTAGCGGTTTTTAGGGGGAAGGGACAGGGTGGAAGATGATGAACATGTTGGGCGCCCAAGGCTACGCTCAGCACGTTCATCATGATTGAATGAGTTCCCAGTGGTCAACTGTTAATCAATACTACTACATTAAAGTACTAAAAAGAGTTCGTAAACACATTAGGGGAAAAAATGCCACAGTTGTGGAGTAATGGATGACTGTTTCACCAGTACAATGCGCCCGCTCATAAGGCCCTATGTGTCAAGCAGCTTCTGATCAACAAAAACATTACTTTGATGGGGTATCCTCTTTACTCACCTGATTTAGCTCCATGCGACTTTTTTTTATTTCCTAATGTTTTCAGGTTAAAAAGGGAAGCCATTTTACCTCAGCTGAAGAGGTTCAGGCAAAAACGGAGAATCTCCTGAAGGGCATTCCAAAAACCTCGTTCCAGAGCTGTTATCAGCAATGATAACATCAAATGCAGAAGTGTGTGAATGCTGAAGGGAACTACTTTGAAGGTGATAATATCACTAAGAACTGACTCTGTAAGTACAGTGTTGTTGGATCAGTTCTGTTTTTTGTGTGTGTGTGTCACACCTTGTACATTACGAAATGCAAGTAGAGAATTTTTTTTTAAATTTCAATTAATCATCAAGATGTAATCTACTTCGATGCGACCCTAAAATAAATAATATTGTAAAAATAAACAGTATCAAATGAGAATGCTCAAAACAAGAAACCAGAAAATTGTAAAACCAGTGAGTAAATTAAAAACAGTAGGCTAAAATATTTAAATAAATTTTGAATTAAAGAAACGAAAAACTGCTAGAAACACTTGTTAATTAAAAAGTGACACTTACAAATCAAAAATAACTATATTTGAACTACAAAATATTGAAGAAGCGAATTTACTTTTGAAAAGGAATTTACATAAAAGCAAAATAAGTAAAAAACTTAAATGATAATTATGCACAAAATTTTCCAAATTAAAAAAAAAGTGGAAAACCAAGCAAAAATTGGAAGCTTTATAGCTTAAAATGGAAAATATTAAAAAGGACATATACCTAAAATTGTGAAACGCCAGTAAGCTGTATGGCTATATATAAGTGACTGCAAATTGGTTAGCAATGGGGAACTAATTTTAATGGAAAAAAAATATATATTCCACATTTAGTACTTTTCTCCCGTTTACATCAACAAAAGAAAAAGTGATAATAAATCGAATAGAAGACAGAGCACTCAATTGGAGAAGGCATACATTATGTTTATTGGAGGTGTTTCTAGATACAAAAGTGTGAAACGAATAAAATTTAGGATTTAGACAGAGAAATGCTTAAGGGGTACTTTAGCGTAATCTACCGTAGCATAAAATTGCAATTAGTATCCTAAATACTTAGAACTGCATTCAGAATTAATTGAGAATAATTGACATCCTTTTTTAAACTACAACTTAGAAGAAGTGTGCGCGCTGTATTTACGCTTGAGTGCAAAATATTTCATAACTGCAAACTATTCGAATGCAAAAGGCAATAAGCCGCAATGCAGAAAGGTCGGCATCTAGAAAAGATTTTACCCTTTTTTTTAACTAACATCATTTAAAAAATGGAAAAAAATCTATTCGGAGATCAAAATGATAACCCTACCGCAGAAAATTGTTGCTTCTTTCGCTCATTACCCAAAAGTGAAACGTCCCGCTATTCTTTTGAAGTCTAGCAGACGATGAAACTTTATTTCATTTTTTACAGAATATTCTAGCGATTACGTTTTTTCTTCAAAGAAGGCGAAAGACTCATAACAAATGAAATTCCTTATTCGAGATTTTGCATTTTTTTTAACTCATAGAGTTAATTTTTTTATTCATTTCGAACTATTAATTTAATTTTCTTCAACTGAATAATATGAAACTCTGGCATGTAAATGTAACACGTTTAATAGTAAACATTTAAGCAATTAAGTTATAAATGATTTCATTGCAATTTTAAGAGCTTTCATTCATCTTGCTTCATTTAAAACAGTTTTAATCGTCGAAATTCTGAGGATTTTTTTTAATTCGATGCTGAAGTTTTTGTGGCTGTAGGTATTCTCTAGTTTTCTTTATTAAGAATTTCTGTTCTTTTTAGTTTAAACCATCATAGATTTTATCTTTTCCGTCTATTAAAAGTCTTAGTAACTTCTACATTCTGAAGTTTTTACCCCAGAAATATTTACCTCTTCTACAGATTTATTTCGAAGACAAAATAGAAAGTGCTTAAAAATGTTGGGAAAAAATAGAGCAAACTCCATTTCAAGTCAATTAAAGACGATGAAGTTTTAG